GCGGCGCTGGCAGCGTGGAGGGTGCGGTGGCAGGACCGGGAACGCCTCTGCGTATTCCAGCCCTTGGGAAAATTACTATTTTCTGTATGTGCCAAAAGACGCCTGTGATTGAAACCGTACCAAATAAAATCCACGTCCCTCAGGGACAGGCAAGAAAGAAACGAACTGAATTCTTAACCCCATGCTGTGAATCTTAATTTCCCGTGATTTATACGGTTTCTTTCCCAGCAGGATTTACCAAGAAGGCTCCGAGGCCAGCGCCGCTGTAGTGGCCGTCGAGACCCCCACCATCCACAAGCTCGAAGCAGGGATTGGGGCGTTCCCGCTTTGAATCCCTTCCTCTGCAGGGCCAGTCCCCGCCGAGCCGGTGTTTCCGGTTCGCCGGGCTTCCCTCTGGCTCTGCCCCTGCAGATGCTGCTCCCCAGGCTCGGATGTGGGTGCAGGGTCTGGGCATACTCTGGAATAAGAGTCTGCTGTTACTGCTTGGTCTCAAAGTCCTGGACCTGAGATCCTGGCTCTCCTGCGGTGAATGGTAAGGGCTCCCACGGGGTCCTGGGGAGCCGAGATGTCGCCCTGGTCGTGGTGTGCAACACTGGCAGGCAGGAGTGGTGGCTGTGAGGACGGCGGCTGTGTCTGCCGCTGGCTGAGGCGTCGGACTCTGGCTGCTGGTTCTCTGCAGGACGGGCGGCCTGACAGTTTGGGTTGTTGAGAAGAACTGAGCAGGTCGGCTCCGAGCGCTCCCTGCCACCCCGAGCAGCGCGTGGGAAAAGGCTCCCAGCATTCGGTGCTCTCATGAGATCTTAACGAGTGTTCTTCTTCCTGCAGTGGGGCATGGGTCTTTTGGCAGTATGAGCAGAAACTCTGCATCTGAACAGAATATATTATCAGTAAATATCTGATGTTTCTGCTGAAGAGATACCAGAGCTCCAAGAAATCTGAGAGAGATCTGTGCTTCAAATTTTAAAGCGTTTTTTTTCCACAAAGATTGTTCTTCTTGACATCCCCCCTCCACTTACAGATGTGTTGGGTTTCCATCTCGCATTCTCCTGATAGAGGAGCTTCATTCTGAGTGCTGCTAGATTAAAAAGCGGAGGCCAGCTGCTGGTAGAGCTGGTAATTGGAGAAGATTAGGAGAGGACTGATCCCGGCCTGGGAACAGCCCTTCTTTTGGTTTCCTGCGTGTAGGTCTCACAACCTGGGAGCTTTCAGCTCCCGCCTTGTGGGATTTGAAGCCTCTTGGGTGGAATGGTTCATTTTCACCCCTTCCTCCCTCAGACCCCAGCGCCATCGAAACGAACGAGGAAATTGAGATCGCCTATCCCATCACCTGCGGGGAGAGCAAAGCCATCCTGCTCTGGAAGAAGTTTGTCTGCCCGGGAATTAATGTCAAGTGTGTGAAGGTAAGGGAGTCTTCACAGCGTGTTCCTTCGCTGCCCTCGAGGTCTGGCACTTGATTTTCTTACTCTTTGCGTTTTGTCTACGCCTTGTCCCGGAGCCGACTGACTTTGCCTTTGCAGCATGCTGGATTGTTGGTGCCAAAGTTGGTTTTAGCGTGGGGAGAAGCAGGGGAGGAGCGGGTTCAGGAGCGAAGGCCTATCACCCACCTTGTATTTCAGCGCTGCTCTCGATTACTGTTTAAAGCAAAGTATCTGGCGCTTGACGAGGGACTTGGAGCTGAAGGCAAGCAGGGGATGCGTCCTGAGATCTGCCAGAGCTTTTCTTCTTTGTCTCTTTCC